GAGGCCAATGGAGAGTGTGGGTAAAAGTTTAGGGTTTAGGTTTGAGGGTTTAGGGTTTAGGGTTTCGACTCTTTTTGGTTTAGGGTTTAAGGAGTTTAGGGTTTAGGGTTTTGAGGGCTCAGGGTCTCAGAATTCAGGCTTCTTTAAAGCTTCGGCGCTCACAGCTCGGACAATTCAGAGGCCTGTTTCGAGGGGTCGGCGAAAACACAACTCACAATACACTGCATCATCGCCGAGCGCACGAATCACACAGGTGGAACTTCGGGATTTAGGGTTCTTCTCTTTTGGGCCTCTTTTGGGCCCAAGGCTGTTGAGGACGGGCTCTCATGGCTCGCACGAATCCAACGGTCGGAAAGATGTATGTGTCACTTCGACTGTAGTAGGTTTATAGACTTTAGGGGTCTTGTCTGTCTCTGCCTGGCTGACAGCTTTGGATAGGGGTTGAGGGTTTCAGATGTTTCAGCTATGCCCGCTTTAGTGCTCGGGGCGTTGATACATTCCGAATGCCGGACAGTACCATGGTTGAGGGCCTCTTGTGAAACCGTTTCGATACATGTTCAACGTCGGTGTGTCACGACTGCTTTGCGTGGTACTTGCCCGCGTGTCTGGCAGACAGCTAACCACTCTTGGGTGTTTCTTTTGTTCTGGCCAGAATCGACACGGACCAAGCCACGACTCCCCGACGAAATCACCAACGAGAAAGCAATGCTGCATGCGACCGGTACTTCCCACATCTCAACCACGCAAAATCCAGACCGTGTCGCAGGCTTCGTATTACTGTTCTTCTACACTATCGTCTTACTGTCATTCAGCTGTCATTCATGTCTCGTGCACACATCCGCCAAAAACGCGGCGGCTCTATGGTGTTCTGCAGGATGACCACATTGAGATGCTTTGTCGTTTGGGCCACGACAGCTCCCACACTCTCCGTGTCCTTCACCCTCCGCTCTCTAGCGATGGTTTCGATTATCGCCTTGGCAAGGAAGCTTCGCCAAGCTCACACGTGACACGAGGAAGCTCAGGCTGGCACCCCACAACTCCAAGGAGACATTGGGCATTCCGGAACTGGCGGGCGTCTCTCTTCAGCTCCGAAGTTATCGCAGAATACCTGCCTGCGCAGAGCTACACGCAATCGCTTTGCAAGCATGCTGCGGCTTGCACTGGCAATGTAGCGAGCACAACATTCGATTGCGTCCAGGACACCACTGGGCCTCGGCTTCTTTGAGTTGCATGCTTGGCATTCCAAATTCAGGGCTCGAAGCTCCTTGTCCTTGTGCTTTCTTTCCAAGCGGCATCGTAAAAGTCGCAGCAAGAACTTCCAGCCCCAGACAGGTTGGCATCTCCGCGTACATACTGGCCGGCGTCGTTGCAACCTGAATGTATGCATTGTGAATTCATGGGTGGTAGTAATGAATAGCTCAGCGTGCGACATTTGAAGGGCCCGCGCTCGTTGTACCACACAAGGCCAGATTCGTCCCAAGCCTTGCGTCAAAGGGACAGAGAAGCCCAACCACAAAACTGTCGGGACTCAGCCAGCCTCGATTGGCAGCTGCCAGTCTGGGAGCAAGGTTGCCTCGTTTCCTCCGCCATGGAGTCTGATGCTTGGTGCTCTCGTGATAAGACGATCAGAAGGCCGACATACGAAAGCGCGACAACGTAAGTTTGGGCTGCCAGCTTCATGGTCAGGATGTGATCACATGAACATTGCCCGGCACTCCCCTCTCGTCCTACTTGCACGACCACTTGTAAATGACAGCTGTTCCTTGGATCTGGAAGCGTCATCACGTGGGGTGCATGCTGTGGCTGGCGGCGGCTAGAGGACAGCAGACAAACTACGCCAACCAACATGTGGTAACTAGAAGCCCACCATTGCAAAAACTTGTGCCAATGTCTTTCAAGGCTCTCCTGATTACATGTCCCGTTTGTGAAATCGTGGAGAGCACAGATTGCACGGGAATACCGGAACGTGGAAAGGAAAAGCCCCAGAGCTGTCACTGCCTCAGCCCATCAACTTTGACTGAATAGAAGAAATTTCGGCATGATACTTTAATGCATATATTCTCCAATCTGTGGCTCCAAGCGAGAACTGCTGATGCGCCTGGGATGGCATAGCAAGGACATCTAAGCCTTCAGACAACCATGCGACCGAAGCACACAAAGGAATCCGCATGAAGGTCTTCCACATCACATCTCGGCGTACATGTGACCTTGTTGCTGGGACGGGGCCAACTGGCCAATCACTTCATGCAACTCATGCAATCCTAACTCATCTACAGCACCATTGCGTGGAAACAAATGGTTGCCAACCGGGTTGTCTGCATAGCTGCCTGCTCTGCCCGGTCCTGGCGAAACCTCATGTCTACACCACGAAAACACGAAATTGTCGGGAGCACATCCTGCAAACATGCCTGCTGCCGTCCGTCTGAGGGTGTTGCAGCTGTTGAATTTCAGCTATGGTGTCCACTGGGACGAGACGATCCTTCATTTGGATTTCCTGAAAGCGTAGGACCAGCGACCACCAAGAAAAGCTTCCAGCACACTGTGCTCCTGCCGGCTGAACTTGCCAGCCAACAAGTCAAGTCTCCAAACTGTCGAACTCACGGGCCAGGGCTCCCATGATCTCCTGACCAATTGCACGGATGAACATCCCCGTATGAACTCTACTGCAACTTGTCTACCAATGTTTGATCCTTGCATCGAACCGGTCAGAACCGGGTAGGGAACAACCATGAACAACCACTCCCAAACACCTCGCCTCGTCGGTGACCGTTCTTGTAGAATCCAACTGAAGCGCATGGAGGCAGGCGGCGTGCATGCGTACCAATCTGAGCAACTGATCCCTGGCACCTTTGCTGTTGCGCAGCGACGGACAAGAATGCCAGAGCGGGACAGGCAGAACTCAAACCTCAAAACTCTAAACTTTGTCGCAAGGATGCTCACACCAGGCTTGCCAGCGTCTGCGCCATCGTGGTCCTCCCAGGGCTTGCTCATGAACGCCTGTCAGGGTGCCATCTTTCTCGCAAAGCATTCGCTGAACACAACGACAACAACAAAGACCCCATACAAGTCATACAAGCACCATGCCCGACGCAAGGCCCAAATAAACCCCACAATAAATACCAAGTATGGTTCAAAATGCAACCTAACAACAAGGTACGACAAACTAAACAACGACAAAACAAACATATCTGACCGATCATCCGTAACAGCTTCGCCCCACTTGCATCCGTAAGGGAAATGTCATGGATGGCAGAAGCACCTCTGCGGCCACATAGCTGAGATCACGCCCGGCAACCACCAACCAAGATCCACCATGTCTGCGAGCAGTCTGCTACCACGATATCATCTCTTTTTTTGCACCGAACTTGGAATGTGTTTGGAGAAACTCCCGCTGAACACTTGAGTCGGACTGTGTGCTGATCTTCACCACGTGCTTATTTAGTCTGCTATCGATTCGGATGTATATGACCCCATTGTCGCCATAGCCTGCTCGCATCGCCCACGAGCCAACAAGGCGGACATGTCCTGCCACGTATAAACCCTAACAACATCCTCAATCTGGTCTCCAGCTACGTCGCAAGTGGTGGCTCCCGTTTGAAACATCAACATCACGCGTCATGCCATATTTCAAGGTGCTCCTGTTTGTCTCACTGTTTCGCAACTGTGGCAAGCATATCATATCATCCTTGATACAACCATATGATCGCAAGCGTCGCTGTCTGGCGAACAGGCACGTCTTAAAACTAATAAAATTTTAGCGCCTATGCAAAAGCAATTTTTTTTTGTTCACGCCCCTTTTTGCGTCAGCCGTGAACAGACCGCGTCAGCAGCCACGGCTTAGCTACGGCTAGGGCGGAGGAGGCGCGACCAACGGTAGGCCGCGGCCACAAGGGTCGGGCTAGTCCTTTTGCATTCGTTCACAGCAAGCCAAAGCTATCCCCAATCTTCGCGCACAAGCGCCCCAAGCCCAGCTCAGGTCGCAAGCGCAGGTAGCGGCAGAAGTAGAAAGCTCGGCATCGGGCTGCCCGGAAGCTCTCTTGCACCCACGCGTCAAATTCTTTTGTGTCCGTGCTTTGTTTGGACCACATGGGGTTGCCTTAGTGCAACCGCTTCTGCAGGCAGGCGGCCGTGCGCGAACCTCTGTGCGCCAGTTTGCTTCGTGACGCCGGGTCACCGTCGCACTGCCCAGCGCTCTCCAGCGGCCGCTGCAAGAGTGACATGGTGTACACTGGCCCGCCTCCGCCAACATCCCTATCCATCGGTGGATGCTGGCCTGGCACGGGAAGCGCGCGGGCGCTGTGAGCGCCTCCCGCAGCAATAGTCTTCGTTTCGCGGCAAACCCATGCTGCCGCCGGTTCGAAAGGCCAAGCACCCCCGCAGTAGGGCATGCCGTGCGGTGGTCACTTTTTGCTGTAATAGCTGTAAATCACCAGACCTTGACATTCGTTTGCAGCCGTCCCTGACCAATCGTCGACCCTCGACCTAACAGCCTTGTACCCGAGCTTTCTGGTGCAAGAACCGCCGCAGCAGCAGCAGCAGCAGCAGCAGCAGCAGCAGCAGCAGCAGCAGCAGCAGCAGCAGCAGCTGCAGCGGGTTTCAGAATGTCCCTGCCCGGTCCAGTTAGACTTGCGACCACCTGCAACCTGCAGCACTGCAGGGCTCCGTGGGCCAGCAAGCAGCTGGGCAAGGCTGCATCGTTGTTCATGGGTATTCGGCGCACGCTTAAAGTAAGCAGGGGCAGCGTCGTATACTGGCGGCGGAAAGGCACGGGAGCTCCACGCATGTGAGCCGATGCCATGGAAACCCGGCAGCAAAGCAGGTATAGTAAAAGCACTCACGAAAATACACGTGTGGGTGTTGCATCGCTGGGGGAGCTGGTGCCTTCATAGGCCACAGGCTGCGTGCCACGTGGAGCACTCAGCTCGGCTTTCAGCCAGCAACAAGTCGCGTGCGGCCGCGGCCTCAACAAGATCGGCCTCCCCACTCCTCCACCGCCGTCATGCGCTGTCCGTTGCGGACCTGATGACGGGGAGCCCATCCATCCATGGCGCCCAGCAAGCTGCAGGGGCCGGCAAGGCCAGGCCTCGTGCAAGCCAAGGCCTCGGGCAGCTCAAGGTGGCCCGAGGGGTTGCGTGCGGTCGTAGCCGCCACGGCTTGCCGAGGGCAGTGCTTGTGACTGCCTGCTGCACGGCGACGGAAAGTATGTGTTTGCGGGTCGCAAAGCGGCACAAGCACACTGCATACTCAAAGTTGACCGCTGGAGGCCCGCAAAAGCTCCTCGTGCTTGCACCGTGCTGTGAACTTAGCATGCAGATAGCCGTGGCCCTGTAAAAGAGTACATCGAGGCGAAGCCAATCATCAGCTGGCCTTCGGCACCCACAGCTTCGCTCGCGACGCGGAACCACGAGCGTCTTCGCGCAAAGGGTCCCGTGTGCGGGCAAGCGAGAGCGCAGTCACCGAACCAATCGATGGCCCCCACAGCCATTGGGAGCGGCATGCACAAGCGGCGGCGGCGTAGCGCAAGTTGCATGGCTTGCGGTGCGCACACAAAGCGAGTCCGCTAACGACTATGAGTCATGGTCAGAGTTGTGAGACAACGCAAGCGAATCTCAGTTTTCAACAACAACCGACTACAGAACCTAAACACAAGAAAGAATCAGTACCGACATCCGATGCTCAAGAATGCACTCGTATCAAATGTACAATCACACCGATCAAACAAACTATTTCCAGTATGTACAGCTCCCAGGGAGCTCACACTATTCAGGATGGAGCATGTCACATCTCACACGCAGCGGCTGCTTGACAGATGTGCCCGACAAATGCAATGTTGCGGCAGATGTCGCGTGCCGTGTTTATGGAGGCATCGGTTGTGAACAGTCGGTCCAACGACAAAAGTGTGGAACCGACATGCTGGTGCTGGAACCACCATTGCCGCAAAGTGTGGTGCGCGGGGCACGCAAGAAGGGAATGCTCAAGCGAATCAACGCCGATCGTACAAAAACGGCAGGGTCTGCAAATGTTCACGTTGCGGTGACGAGCTGCACGCCCATGTGAGAAATCGTGGTGTCCGCACCTGGCAAGTCCCCAATAACGAACGTTGGTTGGGTATGGCTGCCGGCCATACACAACCGGGTGCTGCGGCTGCCAGCACAAGTTTTTGTATGAAAGACTCTGTGTTTTCAAGCGCAAACTTATAACGCACATGAGCGTTCAGCCAGATGATGCGTCTTGCATGATGCAACCAACATTGTAAGACCGAACGGGGTGTGCCAGGACCAAGCCCCCAAGACTGCGGATGAGGGACACCCAATTCTGTCAATTCGTTGGTGGTTGCTGAAACCCACGAGGAAGAATGAAGAGATGCCTGCAACATGACGCGGGCTACGAGACTGTCAGCTGGCATGCGCAATCTACGTGCCCACAAACCAGCTGCAGAGACAAAGTCGCGCAGACCATATATCTGACCATCCAAGTTGCACACGGAGCACCACTAGGCCACATGAGCAAACGCCGACCCCATTCATTTTTGCGGGTTTGGACCCGCGCAAGTTGGGGGCCAGGTTGAACAAATTCAAAGCCGAAGAAAGCACTTGGTTCAACGTATGTTGCAAAAAGCCTGCTCGTAAACTGCACGGGCAACGATGTCGAGGCAGTCCACGAGAGGCAAGCAGCCATTTTTCGTTCGCTGCGACTCAGCATGTGGCCAACGTGCAAACGCCAGTTAAGATTACCCTGGAGAACAACCCCTAAATAAGCATATGAACAAACAACAAGAAGCGTTTGGGCACCGACATGGAAATCAGGCATGTGTCTGCGGGATCGGCCACACCCAAAACACATGATGGCAGATTTGTCTGCTCCCGTTGCGAAATGGAAACGCCAGGATTTGGCCCACTCTAACGCGGCATCAAGAGTAAGTTGCAAATCACGAGGGCTGTCAGCTAAGAATGACAACGTCATCAGCATACCGTTAAAAACCTAGAAAGCTTTAGGTC